CACCCTGTAAACGCTGTCTACCTTTACCTTTATATGTATAACACACTTGTCTACTTCCCTGACTCTGTCTTTCATTGGAACACGAACTCCTGAATGTGAGTAGCACAAGATCTGGCTCAATACATACACACATAAATGAATAATTCACTCACATTCATTGTTGGAATTCACAGCATTACGAAATAGGTGGCAGCTGTTATATCACTTTTACTTTTTTCTTTTAAGAAACTGAAATCATAAAGCTTCAAAAAACTAAAGCTTTTAATCAAGAAGAAAGCACTAAATCTTTATGAGGAAGTGATCAGTTCCTTGGAACTGTGAGTTTTGGGTAATCTTGTTACACAAAGGGAGATTTTCCTCTCTAGATACAGATACTGTTTATAAGCATGAAGAGATTAAAAGTCTAGAGATTCATCCTCACTACAGAAGGAGTTTGCATCTGCTAAGAGGCAGGTTTCTCTTTCCTGGGGCTCAGAACCTATCTTCCTCAGCCTGGCACAAGCAGCACTGGTGGGCTGGGGAGAAGAAAAGAGAAGGAATCCTCTGAACCTGGAGTCAGCACTGCTCTGAGCTCACCAGGAACCGAGCACAGACACTGGTAAGAGGGGACAACTTCTGGCTGGGATGAGCAGGGCAGTGAAGACGGCTGGGAGGAGGTGGTCAGAGATGAAGGTCAACATCTCAGGAGGGAGGAGGTGAAACACCCAGGTATCTGACATGAGAGTTATTGCATGCATGAGTACAGGTCAAAGAGGGGAATGGGCTATGCCGATCAAAGGAAAGGTCTGCTCACCTCACATTCTTTCACTGGAATTGTGAGACTACATGGGAGAGATTTTAAAAATAGGTACGAAATCTTTAAGGGCAAAACAAGAATATAAGTATTTATGATTAATAACTTTGCTTTTATTACTTCTATTATTACCATGATCTTGTCTTTTCCTACACAGGAAAGATGGTGCGAGATGTGAGATTCCCTCTCCTATTGCTGCTGGGGCTACTTGGGCTACTGTGTCCTCTTTAGGCTGTGGCTCCGGCCTTCGCCCCATTTGGGTGGTTTGAAGTTCAGCAGTACACCCAAATGCTCTCACCTCATGCAGTGGGGCAACGAGAGATATCAGCCGACATCTCCCACACAGGGGCTGTAAGCCTACAAACACCTTTCTGCACGACTCTCTCCAAAATGTGATTTATGTCTATACTTTGGCCAATGTCCCGTGCAGCGATTGTCTGTACAACAACTGCCACCAGAATACAAGTCCTGTGAACAAGACTGTCTGCCGGCTCATTAGAGGGAGCACCCCTCCTAACTGCCACTACACAGCTAGTACTAGGTTCGCAAACTTCACTGTGGCCTGTAATCCACCTCGGGCAGGTGACCCTCTGGATCCGCTGGTTCCTGTACACTTAGATTAGATTTGCTAAAGTTTTGATCGTTTTTCTCTTTTTTGACACTGTTTCTACTACAATTTCATCTGCCTTTTGATTTTCTTGTTTCTACAAAAGAAAGAAGGGAGGTGTTGGGAGAATTAGAGTTCCTAGGATACTGTACCACACCCGGGATTGAATATGAATAAAAATAATTCTTTTCTGCTTTGGGAGCTGTCTGTGTTGAGGCACGGAAAATATGGAAAGGAGGAAAAGAGTTCTAGGCCTTTGGGACTTTTGCCAAGCTTTATTTCAGTGCATTCACAACAATAAAATGACTTCCTACTGCATTCCATTGAGTGTGACTGTGTTTTTATCACCTTTCAAATCATCTCCTGCCAGTATTCCAAGAATGTTTTTATTCCTAGGTTCCTATTGGTACAGGACCTCCAAATGATACAGGGGAAATAATATAACTCCCAGACTGCTAGGTGTCAGATATGCTGAGTTTGTGTTCCCCCAAATCGAAGAATGGATTCTGTGGAACACTGGAGGTTAAGAGTAGGAAAATTTTATTGAGAGGGATAGCTCTTGAGAGAGATAAGAGGCAGCACGAATGGGTTGCCATGGATCCCACTTCAGAGAGGAAGTTTTATAGAGGAAAATCATGAGGTGGTTACCACATGGGTTAAGGCTATGTTCAATCAACAAAAGTGTAAGTATAGCCACTTAGGTAATACTGATCCAATGGGGAAGCAGGTCAAGTTGAAAGTGTACATGAAAAGAACAAAGAAATTTTTTAGGAAGGGAAGGGTCTGGGGAGGTCTTGGTCTTGACTGATCTAGACTTTATTGGGCCAGGTGTTACTACTTTTCTTATCCCCTGGGGAAGTCTGTAGGCCTGGTCATTTCATCTTTATCTTGAGGCTTGGTCTCTGACAGATGTTCCTCCAGCTACAGTTGTAATATGTTTTCATCTTTTGTATTGATTTTCCCGAGGGCTTAGGCCTGTCTCATTGCCTATAATATTTCTCCCTAATTTAATAGTATGATGCATAGTATGTGGTAGATCTGACAGATACATACCCGACTCTTGTGTATATTGAGCAAAGAATTGCCAGTGTATATCCCTTGGTAAAAGAAAAAGCAACTACATTTATTGAAGATAACAGGAAGACATGCTCAGGTGGCCTGAACAGAAAAGTGGTGTCGGAGGTGGCAGGAAAATAAAAAGTACACAGAGAAATCAGGCTTTTGAATTTTATTTTATTTTATTTTATTTTTTTTGGTATGGGGGATCGAACTCGGGACCTTGCGTTTGTGAGGCAGGTGCCGGAACCACTGAGCTAAATCCCCGGCCCTAGGCTTTTGAATTTTAAAGGATGTGCACCCCAGCCCAGGTGTCTCTCACTGGGTCTCTGGGTAAAACTGACAGGAAAGATTGACAGGGTGCTGAGTCATCTCAGGGGCACCGTAACTTGCATGTGTGTCCCAGAGTTCATGCTGATTAAATTATATGTGTGAGATGCAGTCCATATTTATAAACTTTAATGGGGTTTGAGGTGGAGGGTAAGGTTACTGAAGGTCAGCCCACTGCCTAGTGAGCCTGTGCTCTGGCCTGGAGGTATAGAAATTGCCTTGATTATTTTTATTTCTGCTTCTCTCTCTTTTTTTCCCAGCATTATATCTGCAACACTGTCAAACACATATTTATTAGACTATACAATGATAGCACAAATGCTGAATGATTCCATAAATTCTAAATGACATAATGCTAATTCCTACTAATAACTAAAATACGGTACAAACATTAACATGGTACAAATGCTGTGATATGATGGAAATACTTTGATACATGATACAAATATTAAATGAATAGTGATTAAGTGAGATTCACACTGATATACACGATACACTACTAAGTGATACACTACTAAATGATACCGTGATGCAAACTCTAAAGGACGCACGGATACTAAATGAAGTAATGATACAGTACTCAACATCTGTTTATGTGCAAAGCATCTCCTTGACTTTAAGCTTGAAAGGAAGAATTGCCTGGACTGAGACAACTTCAGGAAGCCCATTGAAATGCTTACAGGAGCAAGAAGAGAAGGGCAGGACCAGCAAGAAGATATGAGCCTGTCTTAGAGGAGGTAGTAATGCGGGTTCTCATACCAACTAAGCCTAGAAAGGCAATGCAGGGCTTTTTGAGCTTTACTGAAGCTTATGTACAATTTTGCGAGCGTTGTCTAACTGTATCTAACTGAAATAATTGATTGGTTTCTATACTGTGCATTAAACAAGCTGATTGATTAACATAATTGAGTAACCAGATGTTTAACATAATAACCCATCCTCAATTCTAGAGATAAGATTATGCCTCATTTCGAGGAGCAAGTAAAGCTTGTAGGTGAAGTGGAATGCAAGAACAGAGCTCAGGGTTCAAGGTTAGGGTGTTTTACCCAGAGACTAATTCAAACCAGCAGTGGCACTGACTGCACCCTGTAGACAGGAGGTTAGATGCCGAAAAGGACTTTGAGGTCAGCCAAGGTAAGCTTGGTGATAAATTCTCCAGATCCTGATAGAACTTATTTGGCTAAATCTTTCTTTTCTTCTTGAAGCTGCAAGATCTTCTCTGCTACTGTCCCCTCATAAGTAAATCTGTGAATGACAACATCTTTCTGTTGCCCTACTCAGAAAATTCAGTCCCAAGCTTGATCTTCAAGGGCTGGATTCCAGCACATGTCTAGAAGGAAAAGATGGTTTCCTCCAGTCAGATTTAGACTAATACCTCCAGCCAAGAGAGAGATTAGCATAGCCTGAGGCCCTGGAGTGGTTAAATGCCTGTACCAAGTCCTTTCTCTGCTTGGGGTTGAAGGAGCCATCAATGGTGGTATAAGTCAGTCCACCCTTCTTAAGGTGCAGCGCTGTCACTTTCAGCATGCTGGTCCGCTGAGAGACAATGACACTCTTTTGGGACCCTGAATTTCTTCAGATTGCCTCCAGTTTTGCCGACAGAGATGGTATCTCAGTGTTACCTCATGTGTCTTCAGAAAGCTCCACCTTGAAGTGCATGCCATTAAAGGCAACAGTGGGAGAGAGCTCTGCGTCGTGGAGTTCAGACAAGGTCATAGCACTGAGCTCTCTTCTAGGGACAGGGCAAGGCCTTCGCTCTTCAATTCTGCCAGATCCAGGGCCAACTTCCATAAAGAAAGATGATAGGAAGACTGGTGGGGTTTTAGCAGCTGGGACAGGGTGTGGATGGTGCTGGATTTCTGCAAGTCTGCTGCCACAAGGCACAGGCTCACTGGGGCCAAACTTTGGTGATGCTCTAATGAGTGGATTATCAGGGCTTTTTCCAGATTGGTTTCCTCCATTTTCATGTCTTTTTAGATAGGAGTGTAGAGCAGACCTTGATCTTCCAAAAAAGACATTGTACACAGTCTCTTCATCTTTGGAAAGCTTTAAATGATGTAGTTGACATTTATGCTGGGGCAGCATCACCAAGGGTTTGCCAGTGGAGTCCACTTGGTCTATTGTTCTCCCCAGCAAAACGCTCTTGGTTAAAATACTTAACTGCTCTCCTCCTTTCTTTGAGCCATTGTCAACCATGACTTTTCCGCAGATTGA